AATATCGAGATATTAAATATAGTTTTCTTTTTCGATTTGTGGAAATAATCTTTATCGCGATAACGACTATATTGTTTTCTAACAACTATATTTAAATTATTTATAATCTAAAGTTTATAGTCACTTTAAAACTTTTAGTAACTTTAGCATAGGATTTACACGCCATTTATTTCAATCAATATCTCGCTAAAATGAGACAGATATATGATCATTGACAGACGTGAAGTCACGGCTGACCAAGTTTCCTTTGTTACTTATGTCAGAAAGGGCATGTAAAAGTTTCATACTTTCAAAAGTAACTTTTTACGCGTCAAACTTTATAACTGCGGATAACTGCAAAATGGAACTGTTCGCAAGAAGAATTTATAGATTGTAATAACGACGTAAAAAGTATCCGCAAACTGCTATGAGATAAAGAAATCTTTCAATTATTTTAAATTACTCCAGATTTAAAATTAATCTGATTCAATCAAACTGTCTTGATAATTAAACGTTAAGAAAATTATATAAACGCGATTTCGACGATGAAAATTATCACTCTTTTACTTTCTATTCATTTTTAAAAATAAACTTCTAACAATCCATTCGTGAAATATAAAAATTGAGGCGCATAATCGAAATCGCCGAGCGACACCGAAAGTTTTGGCGGATGGCCTTCGGCGAGGTCAAGCAAGGCACTGCGCGTACGACTGGCAGGGTCATCGACACGTGCCGATCAGCGACGGAGTGTCGGTGTGCGCGCGTGTGTTGGTAAGTGTCCCACCGGTTTATTTATACGAGCCGAAGAGCGACGGTTTCGGGTCACCGCCTCGTTGTCGGCGTGCCGAGCGAATGATGACTCGATTACTCAAACGAGCCTCGGTCGCTCTATCGCGATAATCCGGCGGAAGTCGGAGGAGCGACTCGCAGCTGGCGCCCGGAAACGCATGCAAATACACACACGCGCTTGCACGCACGACGTGGCCGTGGATACGCACGCTCGAACCCGTCCACCTCTTTCTTTAAGCGCGTCTCTTTGTGCGTATCTTCTCTTCGCGCACACGGAAAAACGAAAATGGCCAATATATATGTATATACGTACACGTATGTCATACACGCTTGATGTAGTCACGCGAGAGAGGATCGAACAAAGAAAGTCCGATGGCTAGAAACGACGGCGAGAAAGCGCCAAATGCAGCTGCTTCAACGGACATCCACTTCCACGACAGTCTCATTTCCTTGCAAATCTACCGGTCAGCTGGACGTTTCATTTGCGAGGACACGCGAGCAGAGTATATTATGCTCGGACGAATTACTTTTATTTTGGAAGATAATTAAAATATCGAAAATCAGAGGGACAAGACACACAAAATTTCGCTTCTCAAAGCGAAATAATTTGCAATATTATTCCTAATATTGAATCAAAGTGCTATTTCCACATCGTTTTGTCGAGATTATCGACGAGGCCACGAGGCAATTAACTGACAATGAGCGAAAAAAAAGTCGCGTTCGTCGATTGCGACGAACGACACGCGTCGCAAGAAAAGTGATTAAGGTTTAGACTAGATTATTGGCATAATGTAGTCACGATACACTGTCGTTTAATGCATTATTATGTACGTATTTGAAACCGCCCGTGCATGCGCCAATACTATTAATGGTGCGCGTAGTCGAGCGGAAAAATAGCCACGATGGATAAACTTTTTATCGTCGTTGCATATCACGTTGCAACTATCAATTGACCGAACTGATTATAGTAGACGTAATAAAACATCAAGCCTTTTACGACGCCGTTTATCGAGACACGGATCTTACTATCGATTCAAGTAAATTCACAAACATGTGTCAATGTTTGCATTGTGCGCTCGAGGAATTAATACTCTTACTTCGAAATAAAAAATAGAAGAATTAATCAGAGAAGTTTTAAAAAATTCATTTACGTGCAATTGAATATCTGATCTTGAAGATATCGATGTTGTTAAGAATTTTTTTTAGTCATTTAAAAAAATAAAGATCAATTTTTTTTATTTTGGATTGTTCCATTGATATTTTCGTAAAATTAAAATTGATTTCTCGATTTCAAAGATTAAACGTTTGCGACAAAATAAATTCTAAAATCAATTTCTCTTTAATTCGTCTATTTTTCGCGAGCAACGTTACTATATTACGTGATATATTTTCAATTTGAAAATTCCTTGACGATTTTCGATAAATTATTGCGCATTCACAACAATGTTGTGAATTAAAGAAAATATGACTCACCGCAGCATCCTCTCGTGGCGGTCCCTCTCGAGCATCTCCTCCGGACTGGGTTGCTGCGGTCCCAGGAGGGTATGCGATAACGGCGGGTAGGTCCTGGACTGAATAGGCCTCCAGAGCATCTCGGACGCGACGGTGGCGTGATGACCCGGAGGCGCCGGGCTCTGGTAGCCAACCGGCGGCGCCGTGGCTGCGGCGTTCGCGGCGGCGTTGGAGGCGCCCTGAGGATGCGCCATCAGCAGAGTCGTGTGCTGGATGCTCTGCACGTGCCAGACTCTAGCCGGTGCGGCGGCGGCTGTGCCTATCGCCGCTGCCGATGGTGTCGAGGACGACGTCGTCTCCTCGACGCTGAGCGCCGAGCTTCTGCTGCCGCTTCTCTCGTCGCCGGAGCCGGCGCTTCTCAGCGAGCTTACCCCGCTGTCGGAGCCGCTATCGCCGTAAGTACCGGCGACGCCGCTGTTGCTGCTGCCTCCTGACGCCCGTATGCCGCCGATCGCTGTGGACACACCGGTGAGTACGCCCGCACCAGGTATACCGGCCCCGGCCTCCACCTCCATGAGGCCGCCGCCGGCCTCATCGCCACCCCTCGATGTGTGAGACTGTTGTTGCACCTCGAGGAGGCTCGACGGGGTCAAGTGGGCGGTGGGATGATGATGGTGCTGATGCGAGCTGCTCGTTAACTGATGGTGATAATGCTGCGGCGGCGGCGGCGGCGGTTGCTGCTGTTGGTGATGATGGTGAATCACCGGACTACTGGCGGAATAACGCTGCTGATGGTGTTGTTGGTGGTGATGATGAAACTGTTGTTGCTGATGATGCGGCTGATGGTACGGTTGTAGATGATGGTGATGATGGTGACCGGCGATCGGCGGTGGCGGCTTGTTCAGTCTCTCGGCAAGGATGATCGGGCTCTCGTTGTGCCGACTGCGCTCCTGCTCCCGCTGCTGTTCCAGGAGCAGGCTGCTCTGCCTGCCGGGGCCGCCGCCGCCGCTGCTACTAAGCGGACTCAGCCTCTCCAGCACGGAGCCTGAGTCTTGACTGCTCGACTCCAGCAGTTCGACGACCGATTCGACGCTGGCCGCCCTCACGCCGCCGACGCTACCCACGCTATCCTCCGTGCCTAACTCGGTGGTGGTCAGCTCTGTTCGGCGCGACCGCTGCGAGCCCACCTCCTCTTCGCTAGCGTTCTCGTCGCGCTCGTCCTCCGCCGCCGCCGCCGCCGCTGTGTCCTCTCCGTCTTCTTCCGCGAAACCCTTTGTCTTGGATCGAGTCGTCGACTTCAGCAGCGACGGACTGTCCTCGCGGATGACATTCGTCTTGTCGCTGACCAGCGGCGAATCGACGTGCAATCCATTCACGAGTAACTGCGGTGGCTGCTGTTTCCGTTGTCGTTGTTGTTCCTTACACTCACCGATCTTATCTGTGTCCCGATCGGTCGCGCGAGCGTCCTTTCTCGATTCTGGCTTGTTATCTGGCTGTTGTTCCTTGGAAGCTGGATTGCCTCCGGGATCGACTTTATCCGGAGGTGGCGGCTCGGGTTCTCTGTCCCGTTCTCTGGACTGGCTCTCCTCGTTCTCCTCGAGTTTGTCGACCTCCCGCTCAGCCCCGTCGTGTTTTTCCACACCGGCTTCTTCCTCGGCGTCGTCGTCGTTGTCGTCCTCCTCGTCCTCCTCCACCACCACCTCCCCGGCCCGATCCGCTGCAGCTTCCTCGGCGTTTTTGCCCTTACTACTCTCGGATCGAAGCTTTCTGCCGACGGGGCTTGTTCTTAGCCGCTTAGTCAATGGATCGCAACGTTCCGGACTCTCCTCCTCATTCTCCCTTTCGAGAGCTCGCTCTTCCTCCTCCTCTTCCTCGGATCTGCTACCGAGACGTTCGTCCTTGTCGGCTTTCGCGCCGCTTCCGGTACGATGATGATGGTGATGCTCGACAGACTCCTCCTCTGCGCCTGGCTTGACCTCCTGGCCGCTCCCTGGCCTCGGCCTTCTTCGAACCGGTCTCTGATGCTGTGCCGGACTCTGGTCGGCGGTTGGACTCTTTACCGGAGCGCCGCGTCTTCGTAGCTTCGAAGCGCTTCCAGACGCGCTATTCGCCTCTTCCAACACCGGCCGTGCTACACGATTGCTGACCTTGCCAGATGGCGGACCTTTATTCTCTCGATCTTCCTGCTGCCGCGTGGATAATGCCGCTTCTGTCGAATCTTTTTCACTCTTCTCGCGACTAGCACCTTCGCTCACACGTCGACGTCGGTTGTTACGAGCGTTATTCTTTTCTGAAACACACGAGAAACGAGCCGCAAATGTTATATGAACAAATATTGAAGAATTAAATTGACATTGCAATTATTTTTATTTATAATCGCGAGTACGGTAAAAAATCTCGTTTAAGAAATATATATTATAAATTAAAATACACACACGTTCAACAAATATATAAACGTATATTAATACGTTTAAAAATATTATATTATTGTGCTAAACTTTTGTTTTAAAAATATATATTATAGTTAGTATGTTTAAAAAATATTTATCTGAAATTATTTCCTCTATTTATGTCGCGTTAATAAAACTATAACGTAGGTAAGAATAGAGTGAATCGTTAACACAGCTTTAGTTAACAACTTCTTTTACTTTATGCCCTACTTTTGTAATCGTGATAGCGCTATATAATATCATACAATATACCTCTATACGATAACCGTGTATTATCTCAACTTTATATCACCGTATACGACTTGACAGTTGAATATAACTGACGAGAAAACTGATCTTTAACCTGGAGAGTTTTTAAAAGAGCATGAAACTTCATCGTGCGATCTAACAATAAACTATCGTGCGACTCGAAATTTTTTTCATTCACAATTCTATTTTCCTTTATCCACGAATCAAGAATTCCTGAACATTACGCGGCGCGCATCTAATTTCAGATATTACGCGACGGAAGTTACTGATTATATGCGTGAAGAGCCGTCGCGGATCGGCGAACGAGCCGCATAGCTGCTAATTATTGAAATTATCGACGGTAGATTATCGCGCACTCGATATCCCTGCGCACGAAGGTTATCTCGATACCCTTGATCGGACCGCGTAATTGTGGCGAGCGACCGATCGATCCCTACAGCTGTCCGGTACATCGGCTGTTCACCGTGTAGAGAGATGATGGAGCTGATTTACCGAGGTAATCCCTTTGATGTGCGCAATCAGTGATTCGCATAACTTGGTAACCCTAGGACGTTATATAAAGCAATCTCCCTGGCAACTTTTGCAATCCCTCCCGCCCCCATTCCATTCCTGTAATATTCGTCGCATAAATATATATCAACTTTTGTATATTCAATATATCAATTTTTATATATTTTTTTGCAAATCATTTATCTTCCATTTGATATAAAATTGTAAATTACAGAGATGTCATTGACATTGATAATGATATATAAATCTCTTGAAACAATTATTATGAATTTTATTCAGAAGAAAAAATGAGATGCGTAAATTAAAAAAAAAAAAAAAAAAAAAAAAAAAAGCAATGCAACGAGCGAAGACTTACATGTTTTCTCAAATATAATAAAACATTCCTATCATATAATTAACAATGCTTTACGAGATATTTCTAAAGTCAAGTACTATTTCAAGTTTCGATATTAAAATAAATCACGATAAAAAATATTATCTAAATTTATTTCATCCATCTATGTCACGTTAGTAGAACTGCAACATAGAAAAGAATAGCGAATCATTAACACTATCTAATACGATGACGATCATCGAGTTAAGATTGTTATTGGTTGAACGTAACATCGTTCCCTAATTTACTATACCAAATCTCGCTATTAGTATGCAATCATGTATGTATATTACCATCTCATATGTTTCGGAAGCTAGCACGTTCGGCAAAACGGTAGTGCATTATCAATCGCTGTAATAAATCTCACTGACCTCGATCGAAAGCGATGCGCGCATCGATAAGGAGCATCATTACATCCGAGGAATCGTGCGGCAATTCAACCGGGTTTCCGGCTCCCGCCGTCGCGTCAATCCGGCAACCGGGTTCAAGGGAGTTCAAGGGGGTCTTCGATTAACCCAGTAGGAACATGACCGTTAGCATGGGAGCAATTTGCAACAATGCACATCATACACATATATCTATCCTGAGGAGAGGCGAGCGGATAGAAATACATGTTCATGTGTATACGTGCTTGCGCGAGAGAGAGAAAGAGAGAGAGAGAGAGAGAGAGAGAGAGAGAGAGACTGGTTGGAAATGGAGAGATGGACAGGTAGAGGAGGGGAATAAACACGCATAAGCACGCACACGCGCGCGTGCAGGCAAACGAGCGGAGAGAAGGATGACGGGGCGGGGAAGGAAGATACAGGAGAGGGATTTATTACTCGGGATTTACTGTTATTACCCGGAGGGGGAGAGCTACTCCACAGCGGGCAACAGCGATGCATACGTGGGGTGTGTTTATCCGATATGTGCAGTTCGCGCGAGAGCATGAGTGTGTAAGCGTGTGTGCGGCAACATACACGGATGTGCATTGCAACGAGTCTCGACGTGCATCCCGTTTCCTAGCGACTGCGGTTTGTCGTTCTGTCGTTGCACGGCTGCGGCGTGCATTATATCGGGCATAATTGACCAGTGATCGCGTACTATGTTTCGCGCTGTTGTTGCTCGCCACATGCGGCCGTTATTTTCGGACCGAGATACGATTATCCGACGTCCTATTAACGCTCGACGAAAGAACGGCTATTGAGAAACGAGATATTACACAATTACTGATTAGATTAAGGCGTGATTTTTCATATCTCATAAAATGTGAAATTTTTCCATAAAATAATAAAATGTATGGGAAATATTGAAATAATTCATATAAACGAGACGTCGAGTGACAGAATATGATGATTTAATCTTGACAACTTCACAATGATTTCCGTCCAGGTATTGTGGTCACAAAGGAATGTACTGTGCAAAAACTTCAAAACAATTTTTGAAATATTTTTTTAGATATGTGTTTTTTTTATGATTGACTGCGAGTTGACATTTTTACAAAAGCATTTTTGTTTAGCAAACTGTGGGATGCCGTTTTCTTTTTTCAAAAAATATAATCCTGGCAGAAAAATTCTAAAGAAAAGTAAGAGGATTCTCCCTTCTCAAGTGTCCCTTATCGGGATATCAAAAAGAAGGATTATGCGGCTGCCACAGAATTCGCGTTAAAGTAGAGAATGCTTTAGAAAAATATATCGGAAGGTTATAAGTATACGGGGCAATGCATTTTTATATCTATAATATTCTCATTTTTCCACCGAAAATATCTCCTTTGTATCATAAAATGACGATTACGTAATGGATACGCACATACATTTATATTCAAATGCGATAATGTCATAAATCAAGACACGTAATCTTATGATTCTCGGAATACGCGATAACCAGGTTATTAACATGTAACTATCATTTTGTAAAAACATTGCGAGATTACACTATATTGCAAGATAAATGATTGTTTTTGTATATTATGAGAGACAGATTAGATATTTATATCAAACAAAGAAAAAAACACTCTTATGCTGGCAAATGTAAAGCATAATGTTAGTCATTGAATTGTTTTTTCGCAGCGAGTTGCATTATATAAAACCTGCACGTGCGGTTTATTTGCATGTAAATTCTTATCGTCGTGTGTACGAGAGCATGACAAATTGCTTTTGTCCTTTGAAACAAGTATGATGAAATAAAACGAATATTCTGTCACGAGTTTCACATACCAATATAAGAAGAGAAATAAAAAATCCTCCGAGAATAAAAAAATTTATAATAATAACGTTATTAAGAAAATTTTTACATGTTTATGAAATATATAAATAAATTTAAAAAAAATTAATAAATTATTTAATTTTTCTATCATTAGAATATATCTTCGTGCAATCTCATATAAAGATAATCGATAATATGTGTGTGACTAAAAAAAATGCTAACACTTTACACTTTAAAAATTCGCTAGAGCGAATTGTATCAACCGGGTCGCGTATCTTTTGCGATAGAGAGCCTCCATCTCTCTCCATGTTAGAGAGCTGTTTACATGACCTTGCATTGCATCCTGCTCGGCCGCGTGGAAAGCGTGAAGGGCTTTAAAAGCGCATGTGACCCTTCAAAAGGGTCGGGTCGTGTGTGAAAAACAACTCCTACGCCGGCGCCGATGCTCTTTGTCACGAGGGACAATGGTGCATCCCCACAGTTTGATAGACATCGTCAGCTTGCCCCGAGTTACAGGGGTGTGGAATTAGAAATGCTTGAGCGACCTCGCTAGGCATTTAAACCTTTGTCAAAATCAACGCTTCATGCAGACAGGCGGGCAGGTAGCTCTTCGAGTTCTCTCTCTCTCTCTCTCTTTGGATCTCTCTCTCTCTCTCCGCGTTTAACAAAACATTACCATCTCCTCCTTTCTCCGATTCTCGCCGCCGCCCTTTCTCTCGTACGTCTACTATCGACCGCGTTATGTTGAATCCGCATTCTGTATGCGCCATTAGTTTCAAAGCGAGTATCAGTCACTGCCATCCGCTCTATTGCCTCCCTCCAAACTTTACATTACCTACCTACCTATTTACGAAAGGACGAGAGAGGAAAGTGTGCCATATAGAAGTTAGTAGAGCGAGTAATAAATACGATAAGTAAATTATTATTATTTTTAAATATTGTTATCACATAATTTTCTATTCGCGAGAAATGATTTCTCGATAAATGCAGATACGAGAATTCTATTCATTTAAAATTCTAAGCTGTCAATTAACTATTAAAGCCGATAAATTTAAATCGCTTTATCGTTTATTCGTTTTTCCATTCGTAACATTCAACCATACTAAATTTTGCATATGTTTTATTAACTCATTCTCTCTAACGGTTCTTCAAATTTTCTTGTATAGTACAGATTTCGGATGTTAAACGCTTAAAACGTACCACGTCCCATTCGCGCTATCTCGCGATATCTCGCATACGAACTTCGCATGAATAATGGAACAGAATTAGATAATCGCTAAATATGCGGCATGAATACGAGGTCTTATGTTAATAGGATCACTGCGCAATTTTCAAGATTGCCGTTAATCGCGAGACGTTAGAAAAATATACGTACTGCGAAACCCACTCTGTCGTTCCGTTTTTAGAACTCGGATTTTAATACGCAAGAGTATGCAAACAGCAATAAAACGTCACGCATCGCACGAAATTATATACGATAACTGATTTAAGCGCGTATATCGCGTAGCTTTACGCTCGGAAGCG